CGGGTCGGGCAGGGCCGGGCTGCTGCCCCCGCTGCCCCCCGGGCCCCCCCGGGCCCTGCTGCGCCGCCGCCATTCCATGCAGCCGGAGCTCGTCGCCTTCCGCAGCGCCCTGGGCCCCGAGCCCGGCTCTTAGAGACCCCCGGGGACCCCCCTCAGCGTCCTCCGGGACCCCCCCCGGGCCCCCTTCGCTCTGAACCCACCCAGGGCTCGTGGCCCCTCCATCGCCGTCGGCACAAACTCGGCACGACCCCCCCCCCGATTCCCTCGGGAGTCGGTGGCTTTTCCCTGCATCTTCCTCCTGCTCCCTCCTCATCCTCCCGGCAGCTTTTCCCCTTAAACCCACGGCTGGGGGTCTGCACAGCTCCCCACTCCCCCCCCGGCCCCCCTTCCCAGGGGGGTCCCCGTTTTTGGGGGGTGGTTGTCCTTCAATAAAGGCCCCCGTGCAGCTCAGCGGCTCTGAGTGTGGAGGGGGGGGCACATCTGGGGGGTTTGGGGACTGGCACATCTGGAGGGGGGAACAGCTGGACATGGGAAGTCCCCTGGGTTGCCCCCCAAAGCTGTCGCTTCCCAATGCCAAGTTTTAAGGGGAAAAAAAGGCTTTTCCAAGCCCCAAGTCGTTCTCCTGCCAGGCTGGGAGGGATCCCCAGGGATCCAGCAGCTGGGACAGGGAGGGATTTTAGGGAAAGGGGCTGGGGGTGGTTTAATGAAGGACAAAGAACAAGAAGCCAAATTTACACAAAAACTGTTATTTAACAGAAAATAAGGGTTTCCCGGTGGGATAAATCCCACGGGAGAGCAAGGGAACATTTGCCTGGGGTAGGGAAAAAACTCCTGGGATGTGCTGGGATGGGGGGCTGGGAGGGATCCCCCCCAAACCCGAGGGAAACACCCCCAACCCTCGGGGGCTGCTGCTGCTCCCCTCACGTTTGTCCTTTGAAAACAATAAAATTCCACAAAACCCCGATTTCCCAAGGGATGGAGCCGGTTTGGCTCCTCAGACCTGTGTCCAAACCCCCCCCCAGTTTTCCCAGTTTCGCCCAGTTTGGACTCGGAACGTGGACAGGTGGAATCCTGGATCCATCACCGGCGGCGCCGGTCCGGACTGCGGCTCCTCCGGCGCCCACCCCTGGAAAACAGGGAATAGGTGGGAGGAAAGGGAAAAGGCAAAGAGGAAAAGAAAATGAGGGAAAAGGGGATAGGGGAAAGGGGAGAGAAAGCATTTTGGCACATTTATCCCTATTTTAACCCCAGTCCCTCCCCGTGACAACACACGGAATGGCCCCCGTTCCCCCCAGCGGGGGGTTCCGGTGCTCCCGGAGGTCCCTCCCGCTCCCAGCTCCCGGAATTCCCGTCCCTCACCTCCGCTTGCCCTTGGGGGGGCCCCTGACGAAGCACCAGTCGACGCTGACCGGCTGCCCCATGAGCTCCTGCCCGTTCAGCCCCTCCATGGCCGCCTGCGCCTCCTTGTACGTCTCGTACTCCACCAGCGTGTAGCCCTGGGGAGGGATCGGGAATGGCGTTGGGAATGGCACTGGGAATGAGCCCGGGCACGGTGGGAACCCCCGGCTCAGGTTTGGGGGGCAGGGACCCCCTGACACCCTGGGACTGGGAATGGGAAGGAGCCCGGGCATGGTGGCAACCCCCAGATCAGGTTTGAGGTGCAGGGACCCCCCGACATCCTGGGATTGGGATCTGGAATGGGAATGGCACTGGGAATGAGCCCGGGCATGGTGGGAACCCCCGGCTCAGGTTTGGGGGGCAGGGACCCCCCGACACCCTGGGATTGAGATCTGGAATGGGAATGACACTGGGAATCAGCCCAGGCAGGGAAGGAACCCCCGGCTCAGGTCTGGGGGGCAGGGACCCCCCAACACCCTGGGATTGGGATCTGGAATGGGAATGGCACTGGGAATCAGCCCGGGAACCCCTGGCTCAGGTTTGGGGTGCAGGGACCCCGTGACCCCAAAAATCAGCTCACTTTTGGGGTGATCCCACAGGACCTCCGAGCCCGGACTCCACTGGATCAATTCAACCCTCCCACAAGCCAAAATGGAGCTGGGGGGTCCCCCCCAAACCCTCCCAGTCCTAACCCTGAGCCCCCCAGGGCACCTTGAGGTATCCCGTGCGCCGGTCCAGGTTCAGGTGGATGTTCTTGATCTCCCCAAATTCAGCAAAGCGATCGTGCACGTCCTCCTCCGTGGCCTCCTCGTGCACCCCCGTCACGAACAGGATCCAGCCCTCCACGGCTGGGGGGGGGGAAAAGGGGGTCAGGGGGCTGGGAAAGGGGGATCCCCCCAGGAATCCCACCCTCGGTGAGGGGATGTGGAGTTCCCAAGGCTGAGATTTGGGGGTTGAGCCAAAATCAATCCCGGGAATTGTGGTGGGGGGAGCCCCAACCTGGAGCTCAGGAATCCCCCCCTATTCCTGTTCCTTCCCACTGAGAAGTGTCCCTAAGAAAAGGTGTGTCCCCCAAATTCCACAGCTGGGAAGGGGAGATGGAGCCCCAGAATCCATAAATCCTGGGAAGGGGGGAAGGGATCATCCCAACCCAGAGCTCAGGACCCCCCAACCCCCCATTCCCCCTCCCTCCCACAGGGAAGGTGTCCCTGTGACACTCAGAGGCTGTGAGGTCCCCAAGAAGTGGTGTGTCCCCCAAATCTCCCCCATTCCCACCCCTGGGAAGGGGATACGGAGCCCCCGAGTTTGAGATTTGGGGTTTGCCCCAAAATAAATCCTGGGAATGACGGGGGCAGTTGGAAAAAGGATTATCCCAGCAGGGCTGAGCCCTGACCTGGAGCTCTGGACTCACTGTGTCCACCATGTCCCCCCCATCCCTTATGTCCCCCCCATGTCCTCCTCATGTCCCTCATGTCCCCCCATCCTCCATGTCCCCAGTGTCCCCCCTCACATCTCTGTGGTCCTGGTTCATCCCCGTCCTGCTCCACGCTGTCATAATCCTCCCGCACCCGGGCCCGGGATCCTTCCTCTGGAAAAGATGGAACACGATGGGATAACGGGGCCCCTCAACCCCCCACCATGGCACAGGGTGGGGTGTCACCCACCCCCCCACCCCAGGCTGCCAGGGGAGGGTTTTTGGGGCCTCACCTGAACCAAAGCCGCGGCCCTTCCGCTTCTTGGCCTTCTCCTTCAGCTTGTGGATGCTCTCTGGGGGGAGGAGACAGGAATTGGGGAGGGGGGGAAATCATGGAGTCAGGGGGAGCAGGACCCCCCCAGACGGGCAGGGACCCCCCCAGTCGTGGCAGGGAATGACCCCCTTGGGCTGGGAATGACCCCCCGGGCTGGGAAGAACCCCCCTGGTACAGGCAACAGGCAGGGACCACCCCCAGGAAAGGCAGGACCGTCTCCCCGTGATGGGAATGACCCCGCCGGGCCGGACAGGACCCCCTTCCCCAAGAGCTGGGAATGACCCCGTGATCCCCATGGGACAAGCACGACCTATCCCAATGAAAGGCAGGATCTCCCACCGTGCTGGGAATGACACCCTGGGATGGGCAGAACTCCCCTGGGAGCGACAGGATCCCCCCTGGAACTATAGGATCCCCCTGGGAGCTACAGGACCCCACCTGGGAGCGACAGGATCCCCCCTGGAACTATAGGATCCCCCT